ACGATATACATGATTGAATAAAAGAAAATATCGAACTATTTTGTTCCTTCCACGAAACTCATCAGACGGTGACAGGAAATATTGATAAAAATTCCTGTAGATGACTCCACGATTGTATTTTGGCGGGCGAGAGGTATTTTATTTTTCCTCATGGTTTAATCAAAAAGGAATATTTTATCATCTTTAGTAATAAAATTCTTGCAGCTATATACAACATACTTGTCCCACACTTTCATCCCCGCTATCTTCATTATCCTTTTGGAAAACCAGTGCAATACGTCTGTGCCTAATCACATCATATTGTTACAAGACTAGTACACAACGCCTGTGCCTAATCACATCATATTCTTACAAGACCAGTACGATATGTCTGTGCCTAATCACATCATATTGTTACAAGACCAGTACAATACGTCTGTGCCTAATCACGTCATATTACTATTATAAGTCCTTAATTATACTGATCTCCTTTTCCCGATATATGTAGCTAGAAACCGGGTTTCGATACCTGTAATTGGCAGAGCACAGATAGCCCATGTGTAGCTTAATTACAAACAAGCAAGCAAACCGATATTTGTGCATTACTTCCAGACCTGAAACACGTTTATACATCATGGAACTGTTTTATGCAGGCATATCATATGTTTTCTACATGCTTTAGCAATATAGAATGTAGTAGTCAATATTTTGTTTCATTTGGTATAGCCCAAGTCATTCGGTGAAGCATTTGGATCAGTGTTAGTATTCGCGTATATTCAGATATTTGACTCTATTAACATTAAAGTGTACAAGTAAATATATTTTTACGTTAGTCGAAGAACCATTAGCAAGGTATTTCCGTTGGAACGTCATTTGAAGCTTAGGCTTGCAAGTAACTTACGACAGTGTACAAGTGAAGGCATCTTGTAGAAATAAACTAATTTGTTATCGTTATATGAAGTGGCCTTGGCCTTATTTTCACCAAATAATTTAAAGAATATATTCAACGAAATAATAACATAACAATAATATTTTTTTTTGTGTTTCAAAAAACCTACATTTGTGCGTATTATAGATTAATGTTGAGGCGTCCTTGACCGGATGTTGAAAGGTCCAAAACTTATTGTTAATCTTTTACTTAGGTAAATATTACACACAGAAAAGGTGCTTATTAAAGCATAACTTCTATAGTATTGTACTGGATACATAAATAACGTTTCGTAGATTTTTTGTCTCTCATGATGTATTCTCCTATTGAACGAGAATTTATTAGCAGTGGATTGTGTATGACAAAAGATAAATGTAAAATAATATTTATAGCACACCTTTGACTTCAAGCTGCAATGGACAAATGAAGAGGAACGTGGGGGTGGAATCAGCAGTTTAACATGTTGTCATTATACTTTTTACGCTTATTCGTTTCCTAATATTCCGCCCGCTTTTGGTGTTTAAATTACCATTACCCTAATAAATTACCAAAATAATTTAAGTGTAGACGTAGAAGTTTCTATAAGGTCGCGATATTCTGCAAAATTTCTAAGCCTATAATTGGTTGCAAGAATATTGTTGAATTTTCCCTACAGAATTGAATATGGTATGTCTGTGGACTTACAATGCTAGAAACCGGGTTTCGATACCGGTAGCGGGCAGAGAACAGTTAGTCCTTTGAGCAGCTTTGTGCTTAACTCCAAACAAACAAAACCATTTTGTGAAACTGAGAGTGAGTTTACGAGCTCTATCCCCCGGTGTTCAGCAATAACTTTACGGACTTACAACGCTAAAATTTTGGGACAAGTGCAGATAGCCTTGTATAGCTTTACACTCAAAAGCAATAATAACATCATCCGAAATTCGCAAAATCTCCCACCGATCTTTCAAAAATTTTGATTGATCTAATCCACGAACATTTATATATATATATATATGCTAATTCCATTTATCAATTGCAGATGTGAAATTTTTAGTGAAAGACACAACTGTAAATATGTATATGCAAATATGTGTAACATTAAATAAAACTCTTTAATTGAAAACAACAGTTTTTGGCTACATCACTCTTGGAACGTACATAATATTTACACTAATCCACATCTGTGCCGGATTTACCATGAGGCAACTGCCACAGGGCCTCCATAGTTTAGGGGCCTCACAAAGTTTTTTTTTTAATATTAATATTATGAAATGTAAACAATTAAGCTAAACTGATTTTTATTTCTATATTTCTAACTGTTCTGTTATAGATGTATTCCATCTGGATGGGCCTGAAATAGAATATAGATTATTAGACACTATGAAATATAGAAAACAAGTGTAATTATTGTAGATATAATAGTTCATACAGGCGTCAGTTTAAGCAAAACCTATCGATGGTCTCAGCTTGCCTACTTGGCAGCATTGCTCTGGGAGCTCCCGGAATGTAACAAACAAACTGGCAGGCAGGAAATTACCCCCAAACACATCCACAAATGTACATAGATCCATAGACCATCCACTCCTACCAACTGTGCACACTGCACAATATAAGCATCTACCTGAATATACATACATATATACATACACTAGCACCCTGCCCCCTCAGTGGCACAGCAGTATTTCTGCGGACTTACAACGCTAGAATCCGGGTTTCGATACCCATGTTGGGCAGAGCACAGATAGCCCATTGTATAGCTTTGTGCTTAATTACAAACAAACAAACAAACACCAGCATTCATATATACAAAGATATACGAAGAAGACCTGCAGCTACACAACACTAAAATATATATGATATATATGCAAGGTGCACACACTTGCACACACACACATACAAACATGCACAGCAACACACAAGCATACATACACACTACACACACATACATATATAAAATATTTTGTATTTTAGTATATTATTGATTTTTGTACTATTACATACGTTACAGAAATGAGTGATCAACACAAAACTCCACGACAACATATTACTGGTGCTCAAAAGAGGAAATTAGTACATGGAAAAGAGAAAAAGTATCAGGAAGTTGTCAAAAAATGTAGAATGATTGATAAATACTTTACTCCGTCACAGCCGTCATCATTTAATAATGAAGATAATACTGAAAGTTCAGTTGTTACTCAGTTTCAGATGGACTCTGATTCAAAAGAAACTCCTCAAATAGAATTGGATCCAGTTGAAGTACAGCAAAAACTTCCAGGATTTGAACTGGACATTGGTCTATGGCTTTTTCATCTAACCTCTGAAGTGATCAATTACTGGGTAAGGAGAGGTCCAAATGTGTTACAAAACAAATGTAGTGACTTCACCAAATCATGTAAAAGTAATTGTTCTGGCACTATACGAATGTTTGATCATACTCATCCATATAGTTAAAAAGATTGATCCAAGTTGGTTATGTTATTCACTAAGTCCTGGTAAGTTTTTTTTTTTTGAATTTCGCGCAAAGCTACACGAGGGCTATCTGCGCTAGCCATCCCTAATTTAGCAGTGTAAGACAAGAGGGAAGGCAGCTATTCATCACCACCCACCGCCAACTCTTGGGCTACTATTTTTACCAACAAATAGTGGGATTGACCGCCACATTATAATGCCCCCACGGCTGAAAGGGCGAACATGTTTGGTGTGATGGGGATTCGAACCCGCAACCCACAGATTGCGAGTCGAGCGCCCTAACCACCTGGCCATGCTGGGCCGGAGAATAAAGAACCAGATCATCTTATGTATTTTAAGTTGTCACTGATCTTTTTCATTTTATCAAAAAAAAAAAAAAAGTGATTTTCAAGTTT